AGTTCAAACATTCTTGCGCTGGTAAAAACCCATAGGCCCCTAACCTAAATGCCTGCTGGTCCTTACCAGGCTCCTACAATTATAGAAAGTGGACCGCCCACATTTCTTCCTGTTGTACATAAAAAAAAAAAAAAAAAAATGATAAAACAACAAAAAATAAATACACAAAATTCAACAATTAACCTATAAATAAAGTCTGTAAATAATACAAAAATATATATAAGTTTAGGATTTAACACAATTAAAATGGATAAAGAAATAAAGAATAAATAGCTCCAACAAATAGATTTCTAAAAACATGTTGAGATTTGCACTGCCTTTTAGACAGAATAACTTGAATTGTAAATTTATACAAAGTCTTTTCCATTTTTTTGAATACCAGGAAAATCCATCATATTCTATGTTTGCAAAATATTTTTAAGCTTCCATGAATTTCTTTGTACCCAATACGTAAAACAAAGAAACTTTACTTTAGAAGCTGTCATTAATCAGACATTTGTCATAAGCTTTCCTTTATTTTTTGAAAGGAAGCTTGATGTTATCATGCCTTAGCTTAGTCTGTACCCACCGATGTGCTGCATGTTCTTTATTTTTTCTCCCACCGCCTTAGAAATTCTCGAATGACTTTAAAATATATATTCTGCTTCCTAGTGCTCGACAATATCACCTAAATCTTTTTACCTTAGAGATTCTCAGTAGTTTTTGTAAAATGGCAGGAAATTAAAAAGTTTAAAAATCAAAAATGGCTAAAGTTCAGGTAAAATAATGGGTCACTTCAGTTGAAGTCTGAGATGATTCAAAAGCCTACCGCAATCTAATCGACTTAAATATTCAACACTCCTCCTAACTTTGCTTTTAAATGAAATCTTTCAAAGCTGCATGTGGGGCCTGATGCTAACTTTTCTTTTTTCTAAATCTCTGGTCTTGAAGTAGATCAACTTATATTTAGACATCATTATAGCTGCTTTCCTAAAAGTTTATTTTCTTTAAACAACATGTTGGTTCTAAAAACTAATTTTCAACTTAGTTTCCCATAAAAGTGAACAATTAATTGAAGGAGAAGGTTCTCCAACATGTTCACGTTACCTCTGTGTTCACTTGCCCAATGTGTGCCTTATTGTTTAGGTGGTAGACTCCCAGACCTATAGTTCGTGGCTCTTAGAAGATAGTTTCTTGTTATGAGATGTCCTCATTAAGAAACAGGGTTCATAGATCCAGACTTTAATATTATTATTCTGAGATCAACACCTGCTCTATCATACTACCATCAGCTTGTTGTGGACTGGTAACCTGTTTTTAGTGAACACGGGATCCGGGTAACCTATCTACAGTAAAATGGGAGGACTGGCGAAATAACTTTGTGCACAAATCCTTCCCCCCCCCCCCATACTTTTGTTCCCTGGAGTGAAAAGGATGGGGTTAAATTTCAGTGTTGGGTAAAGAAGGATGAAGGAAGAAAATATGGTTAGAAATGGAATTTAGAAAGGAGAGATTTATTAGTCATTAGAAACCTAAGTGATTGCAGTATTGTATCATAAAATGAATAGAAAGAGACTTAGGTGCTTGTATTTCCCATTTAATAGTAAAGTAACAGATAATAATCAATTTATGTGGCGGGAGTGGCGTCCTAGTGGTTAGGGCATAAAGCTTGGAATCCTGAGGTTCTGAGTTTGAGCCCCACTCCCACAGACTGCCATTCTGGGTCCCTGAGCAAAGACCCTTAACCCCACACTGCTCCCTGGGCGCTGCACAATGGCAGCCCACTGCTCCCAAATGGGATGGGTTAAATGCAGAGAGTTCATTTCGTTGCTCTGTACTTGTGACAGTGTAATGACAATAAAAAGCTGGGGAAAAAATTATGGATGTAGATTTAACTTAGATTTTTTTCATTTGGGTGATAATGACTCTAAAACATTTGAACAGTGTCTTTTTTGATTTTATGGAAACAGATAAAGTAAAACAACATAGCTGAGAATATTCAGCATATTGGGAGCCATTTAAAGATAGTTTTCCACATCAGTTTTTCCTAGTTTGACTCCAGTTTATAAAACAGGGATATATTAAACAATTTAATGCATTAATGTATGGGTTTGGATTATTATTATTAGTTTACACTTTAATTTATTTGTAGAATTTTAGTTTCATCAGATCCTGATTTACAGCTTTAGTCCTCATCATAACAAATAGTTTCCCAAACAACCATATGTCATGAGTAAAAAAAAAAGTCTTTGGATGGGTGTTTATTTTTCCAAAATGTTGCTTTTCTCTCTAAAATTTAAGCTAGACTTATCTGACAAGCGGAAATAAATTGAAAGGGACTTTCTTGAATCTGTAATTTCCCATCTTAGTGTCTGACAGCCTGTCAGAGAGAGGCCACCTCTAATTGGAGGGTTCAGAAATATGTCCGCTGTTTTACTAGTGGATATGTAGACAGGAAGGGAGAAGGAGTCATAAATAGATGATCATTCAGTGTCCACAAACCTAACCATGAACAAACAAACAAAAACAAACCCTCAAAACAATGAATTACAACTGCTAATAAAACCTAAAACCTTTACAGTCTAATGAGCCATTTTTTGCCCCAGTTTGGCAAATAAAACTTGTTCATGTTTCCTAACCTTTTGAAAGGAGATAACTGGACTTTTTTGCTAAATATCTACAAAATAATTTTTTATTTCATTAGGTGTAAAACTAAAACAAGAAAAAGTCTTTGAAAAAACGAGAATGGACTCTTTTTCTTTCTATGGGATTTTGATATTTTAGAAAATTCAATAATAAAAAAAAAAATTAAATAAGTTTTCACCCAAATATTAGGCCTAATGTTTGAGATTCAGTGTGTTAATTCAATTCAATTAAGCCTTGTAATAATTGAAGAACCATTGATGCTGTGCCTGCTTTAGTTATTTATCTATGTTTTAAAGAAAATGTTTAGTTCTTTATTTTTTGGGGCTGAAGTCTTTGATAAAGGTCCAAAGAGGATCTTGCAGGTCTGTAGTTTAGGTGGGTGTGAAAAAATAAGGCTGATTGTGGTTAAACTGATTCAGATTCCCTTTAAAAAGATCTTTGTTGCCACCCAGTGGTTTGTCTAAACATCACAGAAATTAAAAGTTTTTTTCAGAAATCAGTAGCTGGTTTAAAGAAGAACATGTGGAATATAAGATCCTCACAATAAATTAATAAAAATCATATTTTCATTGCAATCATAAAAATATTTGAACTAAACAAACTATATTCTTAAATGATGTTGAGAACTAGAAGTTGAAATCTGTCTGCATGTTGTTGTTTTTTAAAGTGCCACGTTGTGTCTTTATGGCCGTGGATAAACTGGATTTAATTACATGCTATTAAAATAAATCAAATGTGAGAATAAATGGATTTACTGCACACAAAAGAAGGCAACCATGTCACTATGTATTTATTTATTTAATTTTGAATGAAACAACTCTCCATTTGTCTCAAAATGCAATTTTCGTTTATTGCTGATTTAAATACCAATTCCTTAAAATCTCAGTATAAATAAATAAATCTTTTTTCATTTAAAGAAACAAATATTTAAAGCATGTATCATATTTTGTTTCATCTCTGCTAAATTTAAACATTAAAAACACAAGAAGAAAGTGACAGAATTATTTATTCACTGCTGTAGAGTCTGTTATTGTTTTTATGTAGAATGCTGCCACCTCCTGGACAATCAGAGGCATCACAACAGAACCTGGCATTCCTGTCCTGCAGACTGTAGTTCTGGGTTCTGCTTTGTTTTGGTAGTGGAAAAAAGTCTTTAACATCAAAGGTGATGTTTTCTTCGTATGCAAATATTTGATTTTGGTAAAACGTGGTTATATATATTATAGCTTCTTTTTTAGTCATGTTTTCAGACATAGTTATTAAGCCTATAGCCACTGCTGGAAAGAGAGCAAAGTGAAGGTGCACGATTATCCTTCAGGGCCTCATGTGGCCTGTAGAGTGGAGCAGGGAGGTATGTGTTGTTAAAGGGAGGTGGAGGGGATGAAGGTTGACTCATGTGCACACGGAGGGGACCCTGCGATCTCTCTCTGCCAGTGCCACTGCTCCAGCAAAGCACAGACCCACCGATCAGACTGAGGAAGGACGAAGTGTAGCCAAGATACACAGCCAAGCCGATCTCATACTTCATCCCACTGGCATAGAAGGGATTGTAAAAATCCAGGATCACATCGTTGGTGGTCCAGGCAACTGTGATCAGGCAGAGGAGGCCGGCGCAGAGGAAGCCGATCCCTCCGCTTAGCAGCAGGGGTGATTTGACCACTGAACGTTGAGCAAAGTGGGTGCATTTCATCCCCATCACAGCAAACACAGATGCCAGGAATGAGGAGATGCAGGACAGCACCATAAGAGCACGGGCAGCCTACAAGATAGGAGAGCAAGTCACATAAATAAATATAATAAAACATAGACTCAGATTTAACACTGGAATACAGCATCTTCCTAAATAACTGCAAAAAATCTTCATGGGAGGAATTTATTTGATCCTATAAATGTAAAACAACAGTTTTCTGTTGCTTTGATTGGAAGGGAAGGAATCAATGAGCAAAGACAACAAATGAGTTGTTCAGTCAAGAGCCTGCAGCAATACCTAAACAAAGCAACAACACCTAAAACCAGATGCTTCATATGGTTTTCAGTCAGTTTAGCTGGATAAAAGCAAATCTAGGGACTAATTCATCCAAACAATAGACATGTAAAAGCCTCATCCTGCAGGCTTTTAGTCTTCTTTATTTCCTTCATGTTTGAATTTAATAGAAAGTCTGCCAGTAACCTAGCTATATGTGATACTTGGGAAACATCTTAAACTCATCCAGAATGTTTGTATGTTAAGAATAGAATAGAATAGAATAGAAAATCCCTTTATTGTCCCACAATCGGGAAATTCTGGTGTTTATGTGATGTTCAAGTTGTAAATATCAGATCACACTGAAAAAAAAAAAAGCCCATTTATCCAGAGGTGAAAAAGTCCAACATTAAGAAATCACTGACTTCACACTTATTCAGCAACACATCCATTAAACAAACTTGACCCAAACATTTCAAGTTAAGCATATTTACAATCATATACAAATGAACATACAGTAATGACTTCCCTGGTAGATTTGCCTTTTAAACTGTGTGACTTGTGTCATCATTTGAATTGTCTTCATAAATTTTGCCCATTCTTCCAAAAATCCGATATACCAGAAACAGGTTCATTGGCTGTCTTACACTTGAGCAAATTTTACAGGTCTTTATAAAAAATGCTGATATGGGGCAAAGGTCAAAGCTTTGTGACGGTCGGGAAAACATAGTTATTTCTGTCATTTAGCCATTTTGTGACAAATTTATGGGTGTTCTATCCACGTATCAAGAGTTTTGAAAACATGGCTTCCCTGCATTGCATTCTGGGTCGCTGGGCCCTAAAAGGTGAGCACCAAATCACAAGTTTACATCATCCATCTTTGACAGAAATGTATAATAATGCATATAATCTGTAAAGTAATTAGTGTTTGCT